TTGCTTCTCATTCACACTGGTGAATCAGAACCTGAGACCCAAGAAGACATTTCATAAATTGTAAATGGTGCCTGATGATTGCATTAAGTTCTGAGTTGAGATGCAAAATTTTGATGATATTATTTTATAAATGAACAGGAATCTTGAAAGAAGATAACCTCTAAATTACTATGCTAGTCAAATAATCCTTTAGTACCTGATAGCTGTCTCTTGCTCCTAATTGTTTTGTGTATTACTAGTCTCCCTCCTAGGAAGAGAAAGAGCTAAAGAATATCATCCTGTCTCTTCTTGTACTTGCCACAGTGCCTATGATTCTAATAGGGTATTGATGGAATATGAGTGAGTGCTAGATAATGTAATGTCATGTGAATATCTTAAAATACAATCTGTGTTTCAGTTATTATATTCCAGATGATAATTTTTTTTTCTTTTATTATTCATATGTGCATACAAGGCTTGGTTCATTTCTCCCCCTGCCCCCACCCCCAAGATGATAATTTTTAAAGTTGACAAAACTTCCCAACAAAAGAGAGAGCTAAATTGCCATTCAAGGAGATAATAAAATTGTAAAAAAAAACTTTAGAGTAAAATAACTGACTATTATTTCTATTCTACTTTGTTCCATACAGGACAAAAGGTAGGTAAATCCTAAGTCCTACTAATTGATTGCCAGATAACACATCACATTTGTAAGAATTTTACAATTTAGAAAGCACTTTCTTATAATTTATTTCACTCAGTTTTCTGAGAAACTCTATGAAGAAGTAACAGTTATTCTTTATTTTACTAATAAGGAAAAGTAGATTCATAGAAACCTTTCCTGAGGTTATATAATGGGTAAGACACATCCCATGTTGTCACCTCAGATTCTGTACTTTGTCCTGCTCTCTGGGAGAAGCTAAATACAGACTTTGGAAGAAGTTGAATACCCAGGTCAATATGGCCCAAGAGAAAGGAGCTATCGCCTTTGTAGCATGTGACATATAGTAACCTGTGCTGAGAGTGACTAAGAAAACACAGTGAGAGCCCAAGAACTTACACAAATAGCCAAGATTTTCAAGAATTCCAAAATTCAAGAATAGCATATAATTTACCTTATTAAAAATCCCCCTGACGATGAGCAGACAACAGGTGAGTCCACTGAGAAGCAGGTTCTAGGCAGTGAGCTTGGTGCCCTCACTATCAGAGACCAGCATTCCTGCTCCATCCAAATCTCATTCCATGGGTCTTCTACAGCTCATGATTTCAGACTCTGAG